ACAGCTAGTCGAACAAACAAAATTCAAGTTTACATGAAACAAAGAAAAATTAATTCAAAATAATATCAAATTGGGGGATATTAAATAAAGTTTAAAAGAAAAGTAGAGTTAAAAATATATAAAACTGAATACAAAGTTTCAACTATATGCATAATTACATAAATAATAAAGTAAGTGGAACTGAAGGTAATACAAAATCAAACAGAACCAAAATAAATATAATAGAATTATACATCTTCACAGAGTTAACACAGTCACACCGAATCTAAATCCGTAAAACAACCCCAGATGGAACTACCGAACTAAATGATTGTTTGTTTGTTATGCATTTCGCGCAAAGCTACATGAAGGCTATCTGCGCTAGCCGTCCCTAATTTAGTAGTGCAAGACTAGAAGGAAGGCAGCTAGTCATAACCACCCACCGCCAACTCTTGGGCTACTCTTTTACAAACGAATAGTGGGATTGACCGTCACATTATAGCGTCCCCACGGCTGAAAGGGCGAACATGCTTGGTGAGACGGAGATTCGAACCCGAGACCCTCAGATTGCAAGTCGAGCGCCGTTACCACCTGGCCATGCCGGGCCACAACTGAATGAATTAAAGTTAAGTGAACAGGGCAATACCTAAATTGAATATAATACACGATTTAAAACTTGAAACTAAACAGACATTACAAAATAAACTAAATACATTAAAAAATGAAAATAATACTGGCCAATGCTTGCTTAAACCAATCCACACAAAAAAGCAAAATGAAATATATTACAATGGAGTACTGAAAATACAAAAGAAAAGTGAACTCAAATGCACACATAAAACCAAACATTGGATAAACATAAGATAATATAAATAGAAGAAAACTAATGAAAATTTCAATGGTTATAATTACTATAAAAATAAGCTGAGGCTATATAAAGTCGAGCATATTACATAATCAAATAAGCTAAACTAAGTGAAAATTGAACGGAAGACAAATTGAAAGAAAACTACATGGATACACTAACTCCATGAACACTACTGATTGACAGAAGTACTTTGAAAGCTTTTGTAGACCCCTCACCCCTAGTTGCTCAGCAGAATGTCTGCGGACTTATACCGTTATAAATCGGGTTTCGATACAGGGTGAGTACAGATTGTGTAGCTTTGTGATTAAATACAAAACAAACAAACAAAACTTTTGTAGACTTTCTTCTTTTGGTTGAAATTTTGCAGATCATCACCAAATTGAAAAAAAAAAGAAGAAGTAATTATTGTTTTCTTATAAACACCTCTTTCCAAAGTGTTTTCCCTTCTTCCTTGATTTGTTTGTTTTTTGTGGGACCCAGGATGATGTCACTATGATTCAGAATCTTGTGGACATCCTCCAGATGCTTCATGAAATTTCTCATGCGTGATATGAAATCAAGATATGCCGCCTCTGAACAATGGTCCCACATTCCTGATTCTCTGGACAATGGTCCCACATTCCTAATTCTCTGAACCATTAGTCTCACGTTCCTGATTCTCTGGACAATGGTCCCACATTCCTGATTCTCTGGACAATGGTCCCACATTCCTAATTCTCTGAACCATTAGTCTCACGTTCCTGATTCTCTGAACAGTGGTCCCACATTCTTGATTCCCCACTCATTAGTGCATAAAGATCAACCATTGTTGCAGATGTGGTTTTCGGTTTTAAAATTGAAGCCAAAGTGAACACTTTGCTCAGATGTCACAATCTCCTCTTAGTGATGAGCCCTGGTATTTGGGGGAAAAGCCTCGTTGGTACTGGATGTGGCAGATATAGTACAGTTGACAAATTGTTAAATACTCTTCTTTGCCTTCATTTATGAGTTTTTAGAATTACTAATGTAGATTTATTCTGTTGACGCTTTGATTACTTGACATGCTTTGCGAACAAAAAAATCTTCAGTAGGTCTCTGACATTTCCTGATTGGTTTAAGGACATGCCAGTCAGTGATTGCCTTACCGGCTTACGTTGATTTGACTCATTTTAT